ATTGATGTTATTACTTATTATACAATTTGATACGTATTGTTTGTTGAGCTCATGGTCACGTCCTGCAACGTTACGAAACCCGACAGAGAGAGAGAGAGAGAGAGAGAGAGAGAACAAGTCGAGAGGAACGTGCGACGCCATAACAGGCCACTCTGATGGAGTGTGAAAGTGCCGGGGCCGGCCTATACTGCACCGGTAAATTGTTTGCAAGCGCGTTAGAAAAATGAGAAAGTAACTAGGTATGTTCCTAGCGAATCGCGCTGTTCTCAACCGTAAACGAGTACCAGCGTGAAGACAAATAAAAGTTAACCAGCAGTCGCAAATGTTCCGATGCGGGACGCAGACCGATCCTTTCATTTATGAAAGGGGAACACTATGAGAGAAGAGTAGATTTTAGGAGGGGTGTTTTAATACAAATAAGACAGCGCGATCTGCTTAGGTTGTTTTTCCTATAGAAAACAACTTACTAACGAACTACTACTTTGGTTTCAACCTGACATGCATCAGAGAATCAGTTATTTTAACGGATATGCTCGATAAGATAGAAAGAAAGAAGACTATTGTATTATTGCTGCAGCATGTACGTATGGGTAGTCTCGTACTTAATGAATACCAGCGTAAAATAATAAATAAATATCACTTTATTGCCACTTTTAAAAAACATGTTTACATATAAGCTAATTAATTAACCTTAATTAAATTTAGGCAAACGGAGGTGATTCAGCTTTTGCTTGCATGGAACTAAGATTCCATGAAGCGCTGGTTTTCAGGCATTCCTTCCTTCCTGAGATGTTACATAGGTGTTATGAGAATTTTGAGTTCCCCAATCACCTCTATCATTTACTCATCTATATTATTGGAATTTAACATAGTACGGTTGTGAAATTTCATTATTATTTATTAATAATTAACATTATATAATATATGTGAGCTACGTACAGTAAGAAAATTATATATTTTACAAACCGTTTTAAAAACACATAGTAGTCTGTCTTATGATTCGAACATTTTGCAAAGAAGAAGAGGTACTGTAATAGTAACACAGAAAGTAAACACAAAATTTGCTTCTCATCAACATAAAAAGCAATCAGTTTTTATATACAATAAAATAAACAAAATTCTCAATATATATAAATTGAATAGATATAATTGTAAACAGTTGTTGACAAAATGGTTAAAACAATTAGATTATGATAAAACAGAGGCTATTTTACAATGCATTATTTAGACACTACAATATTAGTAAGCAAATACACATAAACACATACATAAAAACACAAACACACACACACACACACACATGCACACACACACACACACACACACACACACACACATGCATGCATACACACACACACACACACACACACACTAGTTTCTTTAATAGTTTATATCCTACGGATTAAGTTGATCACTATTTGTATTATGGCTATGGAAGAGCGGGATCTTCTGGCACAGGTGTTTTTACACTTAAAAGAAGATTTCCACAATCTCAAGATCATTGTAAAAATTTTTAGTTGATCAATAAATATTTATTATTATTTATTTATTTATTTATTATTTATTAATAATTCTTGTGCGTGCGTGCATGCGTGATTGTTCAGTTTATTATATATACATGGGGATGTTTTTAAGGGTTATACTAAAATGTTAAAAAAAGTCTCTTTAAGTTTATGTATTTCCAGTAGGCATGTTTCAAATTTTCTGCAGCAATTTGCCGCTTCAGCAATGCTGATTTATATTTAGCTTTGAAGCTTTCCGTACTTATTTTATTTCTCATGTTGTTTTTCGTATGGGCAAAGAATCCTCGAGAAGTCCTCGGGCTTCTTAGTATGTCGTGTGTACCTGTGTACGGCTACGTATATGCTTGTCAACAATTATGAAATATTATATCAGTGTGTTTACTTGCAAGCGGTTGTTTCACTCGTGCCCCTGTAACGTATACGTACCAGTATGTAGGTGTCTACGAGCCACAGCACAACAACTTATTATCAAGTGTGCTCGTTTGTCTGGTTTGGTTTACGACCAACAGATAAAAATATGAAGGGAAGCAACGCCAAGATGCGAAGATTGTGTTATAGTGATCAAAAATCCCTAATACATGGATAATCCTATTAGTCCAGCGTCAAAGTCTAAAGTTTTCAGGATCTTTTTATTTACTTAGAGAGTGAGAGCTGCTATACACTTCTTGATTACTAAGCTGGTTCTAAAATACTGCTGTTTCGTATGGTGAGTGTAACCGGAGACCCGTTTTACTGGAATCAAGGCATTCCATCTTAGTCCTCAGGGGTGACAACGTATTTGCATTGTGATTCTTAATCGAGGTTAAATGTAGATGTCTATGGGCCATAGCATCCACTTACAATCAGGTGGACTGTGTGCTCGTTTGTCCCCCTAATTTTATAAGAAAAAAATTACTTACAAGGCAAGTAATGAATTTTTTAGAATTAGAGTGCCATCAAATAATTTCATAAATAGCACATATTACCTCATAACTGACGATGCGTTCATTTCGGATACACACGTCTCCGGTAATACCAAATTTCGAAAATAAAATATCTGATGTAATATAATATATAATAATATAATTAGCTTAATTACTATATCGTGATCGCTTTTTAATAGTTTCAGAAAACTCGGTAATAACGACGTCCGTCTGTGTCGGATGCAGGTTTGTTGTTTTAACAATTACAAAAAAATCTCACTAAATCTACTTTCTAACTTTAACGTGGTTACTGAGTTGGTAATACACTCACCGGCACGGAAACTTGGCCACTCGTGAATTTGCTGATTATTTGCACTGAAACGTTTTTTTAACAGTAAATTAAGGGTAGATGCATTCAATAAGTATCTCTAATGGTTTTAGAACATAGAAATTTAATGTTTACTTCACCGAAATTTTTCTTTTCAAGATAACATGTTTTCACTAAAATTAACATCTTTCCATTGTCACTTTAAAAACACTACAAAGTTAAAAATTAAGTCTGTTTCTTTATTGTCTATCAGTTTTAATATCGGGTGTTTCCTCCTCTAGCCCTGATAACCGCTTGCATTCGATCTGGCATGCTTTGAATGATGTTTCTGCCAGCGCTGCATTTCGGAGCTCATTTAGAGTTTGTGGCGGTTTGGAGCTGGACTTTATCTTTCTTTTGAGATACATACATGCTCAATTGGATTTTAGTCCGGGCTACGAGCTGGCCACTGTAATTTTTGTATTCCAACCTCTTCCAGATATTCCTCTACACAATGTGCGACGTGCGGGCGTGCATTATCGTGCATGAGGAGGAATTGGTCGTGTCCAATGAATCCCGAATAAGGCATTACGTGCTCCTGAAGAACTTCCTCGATGTATCGAGTAGCTGTAAGCCGATTATCGACGATGACCAACTCTGTACGTGCGTCGGAAATTACACCTCCCCATACCATTATTGAGCCTCCATGGAAACTCACAGTTTGGGTGGTGGTAATGGGTAGAAACCTCTCTCCTCTTTTTCTCCACACTCGTTCTCGACCGTCTGGAGCACGTAAAGCTATTCGACACTCATCTGTGAACAACACTCTAGCCCATTGCTCGTGGGTCCAATTGACATGTTCTCTTGCGAACTGAAGTCGGGCTACTCGGTGCTGTCTGAGAAGTTCTGGACCTCGTGCTGGTCTACGAGCTTTTAAATTCACTTCCTCCATTCGTCTTCTCACCGTACGCTTACTAACATTAACGCCTCTTGCGATTTGGAGCCGCTGGCGTATCTCAACAGCGGTCAGGTAGCGGTTTCTCAAAATCTCCATAACAATAAAACGATCGTCCCGGGCCGATGTGCACCTTACGCCCCCACTGCCTGGCCTGCGGGTGTAGCGGCCTGTCTCCTGGTATCGTTTCAGTGAATACTGCATTGAGGACCGTGGTACGTTAAGCACAATAGCAACTTCACGCTGTGTCAGCCCTTTGTCAATTAATGCTACTGCTTGTGCAACTTGTGCTGGTGTTAATGGCATTTTTATTGGCTTTAAAGCACCTTTAGTTATTTAATTAAGACACAAGATCACAATAATTGAATAACCTTACAGTAAACGTTTCACAACACACAAATTTAAAATGTGAACTTAGTCGTTCAAATGACCCGATTCAACTAAAAATTAAAGAATTCGTCATGGTGCACTTAAACATAATGAATTACCCTCTTGAACTTGAGGGTAAACATTTTTTGACATACTTGCATAACAAACATTCATCAGAAACACTTAAAGCTTTTGCTATCGCGAGATAACCGCTTGGCCAAGTTTCCGTGCCGGTGAGTGTATTAGATACATGTTTAAAAGCAATTAAATACAAATAATGATTTCTTATACTACACGAATAGGGGAGACTGGGGCTGGTTGTGACATTTTTTTTGTAAAGTGTCGCAATTTTTTGTTTGTTTGATTGTTTTGTAGATGTAGATTTGTTTGAATAAGTAATTATTCGGGTTATTAATTTAAAAACAATTTTAGATACCAGACTATTAGAAGTGACATAAATTAATTAATTCTGGGAAAAGAGGCGTGTAACTTTTAGCCCCGCGACAGGGGCTGGTCGTTACACTATAAGGGGCAAAATGTTACAACAAAAACCAAATGTAATATAACACTTTTTATTGAGAATAATGACAATTTATAACAATTATTATGTATACAATGTCAAACTATATTTTCTATATAACAGTCTTTTGCATCATCCCTTTACCGCATACCGTGACAAATATGGAACACTCAACTTTTGTTGTAATATATTACTACCTGCGGCGTCTATAATATTTTCTCGGAACTAATTCGTACTGGAGAGTGTAACTCACCTAAATATGTAACAGTGGCGCCTCTTTAGAGACGCCTAGGAACTAAAATTGACTGTTTCGTCAGTCGGTTGCCAAAATTTGACAGGTCGACAGTTAGCAGATTTTCAATACGATTTTTTATTGTTTTTTTCTTAATATCTGAGGATTAATTGTGATTTACCGGATAGAACAATGGACCCACAGGCTTTTTACGGCAAAAGAAGTAAGTTTAAATCATAATATGTATTGAATATTATCATTTTAAAATTGTTCCCAATTTGGAACACCATGCAATTGTTACGTTTTTTGTAGTGCCAAATATGGAACATTATGCACTCCAGTCAATATTTTAACAGTTCCAAATTTGGAACATTATGCAGTGTTAGACCAAGATATATATTATATATCTATAGTTTTAGGTCAATTTTTAACAAATTTTTGTATTGAATATGAAACCGTCAATAACTTACAAGTTCAGAATTCGGAACATTATGCTGCATAAGATCTTTTAATGCTTGCAGTTTAATACTATACCCTGCAGCTAATGTAATTATTAAGTAGGACAAGTAAAAGTAGCGCAGTTTTAGATGTCCTGCCCTGAATATGTATTATATATAGTTATGTTTATACGTGATTATCTTTAAATTTGCTTAATTACTTTAATTGTAGATAAAATAGAGATGCGTCCTCGACGAACAATCGTCGTAATTCCAGAGAGCAGCGAGGATGAAAATGTATCAGATGATGAGACTTACAGTACTCAAGATCCTTTACATATAAATGAAGAAAAAGAAAAGTCTTCCTCGGACGGGGAAGATGAAGAAGAAGATGAAGAGGGAAAAGAGGAACTGGACCAGCTATTTCCTGAGTGCACTGAAGAGCATATGGAGACGTTAGAAAATTTTACAGACAATCAACCTTCTACTTCACAGGCAGCTTCTTCAAGTAAGAAAGAAAAGAAAGATAAGTTGGTGTGGTCGGATGACAATCTTCAGTATGATGAATCCAATATTGCTTTTTTGGGATCTGAAAATCTTCCAGATGAAATAATGCAGCTAAATACTCCAATGGAGTTTTTCAAATTTCTTTTTCCGTCATCTGCTGTAAATTTAATTGAGGAAGAAAGCAACGTATACGCAGCATTTTTCCCCGAAAACTTGAATTCAGTGACACATAAAGACATTTATAAATTTATTGGTATTATTATCTACATGTCGGTAATACACCTGCCAACTACTCGTCATTACTGGAAGGAGGGCACATATGTTGAAAAAGTTGCAAATGTTATGACGTGCAATAAATTCGAAGAGATTAAAAGATTTCTGCATTTTTTCGACAAAACAAAAGAACTAAAACCATATGACCCGCAGTTTGATAGACTTCAGAAAATACGCCCACTTATGAAAATCCTACGCGAAAGACTGCTAAAAGTGCCGAAAGAGGAATTTTTGTCCATTGACGAACAGATGATCCCTACTAAGGCCCGAACTTCAGGAATCAGACAGTACAATGCAAAGAAACCCCATAAGTGGGGTTATTTGAATTACGTATTAAGCGGAGTCAGTGGATTTAGTTACGACTTTGAATTATTCGGAGGAAAATACCCAGCACCGCCTGAAAACTGTCCCGATCTTGGAGTGCCAGGAAATGTGGTTCAAAGACTATTGAAGACTGTCTCGGACAATTTGAATCATAAGATTTTTGTCGATAACTGGTACACAAGTTTGCAGCTAATGGCAAACTTGCACAAAAAAAGGTATTCTGCCATTAGGCACAGTACAACTGAGAAGAGCTCCAAATATTAATATAAATAAAAAAGCTTTAGAAAAGAAAGAACGAGGTTATTGCTCCGAAAAAAGTGTTGCTGTTGATAACGTTAAGCTATCAGTTACCAGTTGGGTCGACAATAAAGCAGTCAGTTTGTGTTCATCCTATGTAGGCAAGGAACCAATGGGAGTTGTGAAAAGATATTCCAAAAAACATAAGCGTAGAGTTGATGTTTCTTACCCAAAAGCAGTATCAATTTATAATAAATACATGGGCGGTGTCGATTTACTAGATGCCATGTTAGGCTTCTATAGGATCAAAATCCGCAGTAAAAAATGGTACCACCGCCTGTTCTTCCATTTCATTGATCTCTGTTGCGTGAATAGTTGGCTATTATGGCGGAGAGTCATGAAACAAAAGGGTGAAGATATTTACATTCCATTGCTTGACTTTAAATTAACCATAGCAGATGTATTGATGCACAAAGACTCAAAGGTATATACTCCGACTACACGCAAACGAGGACGACCACTGAATCAAGATGTTGAGGCAATTAAAAAGGGGCAATCAAGGCGACGCATAGAACTGCCTCCAATGGAAGTAGCTGGAGACGGGTTCAACCACTGGCCGAATTGGAAAACTGATCGCCAAAGGTGTAAAATGGTAGGATGCACGCAGAAATCCCAATTGATGTGCGAAAAGTGTGGGTGTTATCTTTGTTTTAACAAAGATCGCAACTGTTTTAAAAACTTTCACACATAATTTTTTTTAAATTAAATACTTATTCATAGCTTCACTTTGTTTCTTTTATTTTTATAAAATTCTATTTCAATTATACATAATTAGACCACACCGCATGTTGTACCAAATATGGAACGTCTATGTTATAGAACTAGAACGCACGGTGTTCCATATTTGGAACAATTACTTTTACCTATTTATCTTTTTTTAATGGTGTTCTATATTTATTTAAATATTTTTTGGGGTGCTATATATACCCTATAGTGACATATATTTTTTCCAAAGGATTTAAAAAAATTCATGCGGTAAAGGGTTAAAATAAAAACATAGTAACTACGTTGAACAAAATTATAATCTTATTTTTTAGACTTACGCCTTATAAAAATAAAATTTAGGTAACTTCCAACCGGCAGAAAATTATAAATTTCTTTATTCAACAAAAGCCTTAGTATAAATTGAAGATGAACAAAAAATAAAATTACATTAGCAAAAAAATAAATAAGTCAAATATCAGTCGGCAAGCAGCACTACGGGGTAGGTAGTAACAAGTAACAACCTGCCCCGAGCAAATGTCACTTTTAGCCCCAACGCCAAAACTGACCTTTTAAGGTTAAGTAGTAAAAACACAAATAAGTATAACTGTATAAACGTAAATTCGTTGCAATAAGAAAGTATTGGGGCACACATATCACAACACACACATTTCTGCTTTAAAGGAAAAGAGGTTTTAGACCAATATTACGGAAAAACGAAAATGTTACTAACATGTGGTTTTGACGGCAACATGTACGGGCTCCTCTCACAAAAGCCCTGGCGCCACAGGTTCGCGCGGCGTGCTAGCCGATTGTCGCGTGATCATTTGTATCTTTCTCACGACAATACAGCGTTCTCAGTTTAACCACCGTTGCCGCTGTAACTACCTACCCCTGTTACTACCAGCCCCAGTCTCCCCTACTACATATTGAATGAAATTAGTTTTTATGGATTTTATCGCGTTTATAAAAAGACCTAACCTAATTTTACCTTTTAATCAACTAATTTAATTTAAATAACTGTAGGTAAGTAATTTAAAGATTTCTATTTGCACAAATAGGTGACGTTGAATAAATCTTTTTAACAACCGTCAAGTGTAATATCCCTATACAAAATGCAGAAGTGTTCGAGCTTGTGGTCTCCCTTACTTAGGAGAATAAAAAAGATTGATAAAAGAAGCTGACGAGAAGCACCGATAGTCCGAGAACTCTGCGATCTGTGAAAATGTTCGAGATCGTCCCCCCAATATCATCAAATTTGAAAGATCACAAATCCTCGCAAAAAGCACAGAATCCTAACAAGGTGATTCACGAGGCTATTGAAATTGAAAAGAACATCCAATGTCCAAGTCACACGTGACCGACCGTGTTGATTACGATAATAATAATGGGCTTTCATTTGGTTAGTTTTTTTATGCATAGTTTTTTTTTATTTAAAGTTAAAAAGTAAAGTTATAGCCTATATACGTCCCACTGCTGGGCACAGGCCTTCCCTCATTTCTGAGAGGGTTTTGGGACAAGGAAGTGTCCGCCGCGCTGCCCCAACCCCCAATGCGTGTTGGCGTACTTCACACACTTACATATTTCTCAGACATGCAGGTTTCTTCACGATGTTTTCCTTCACCACCGAGCACGTGGTGGTAAATCAGTACTTAAAATTGCAATTAACAATTTCATTGGTGCCGGCGGGGACCGAACCCGGTTTGCTCGCATACTGTGATATTTACAGCGAGCGCTAACCATCTGAGCTACTACGGCTCATTTTTTTATTTATTTTAGTGTAATATTCAGTGTACAATATTTATGTATATTTATCATTTCCTTTTATATACGTATTTATTAAGCTTGTAACCATGTGAAAATATTGCATAAAAACAATAATAATAATAAACATTTCTTTCTCTCACATTTTAAACAGTTACATTTCTTTCATAAATAGTTTAGCATTTTAGTTGTTGTGGGAGACAGGAGCCTAAAATAGGTTAATTGCTAATGATGTTGGTTAGGATTAGTATTTCTGTATTTAGTTCTCAGTTTGATACTTTTTGCGTTTCTAGAAAAATTGCGGAGACAACGTAAATTAACTTACAGTTTTTAACTATGGATTTTATGTCAAATAGATAATATTCTTTCTCCGTTAAAACCCGGGAGAAGATAGAGAGCTAAATTGGAATATATAACATCTATTCATATCGTCAGTGAGCGTTTAAAAAGCGAGTCACAGACTACGCAGATACGATAATATTTTATCGGCGTATAAGAACTTAATAATCTGAAAATATCACACACTACGCAGATACGATAGTTATACGAAATGAAAAATGATACATTCACTCGAAATTCTTCAAACTTACTAGACGTGTTTTGAGAGTGGATTGTTTATACAGTGTTACGTACAATGAGTTGGCGTAGGTATATTGCTTCTGGATTGTTACATTAGCATTTACTAAAAGGCGAAGTATTTGGGTAGAACGTCATGTAAAACTTAGAAAGAACCGAGGCGAATTTAATCAAATTTTTTCAGCGACCATTCTGTATTTATCTGCAGATAAACTCCTACGCCATATTTGGTGCAATAATGTTATCTGCAGATATATTTGTATGAGCATATAATGTTATCACTTATCACCATCTTTCGATATATTGTCACTGCTTACAGATACTTAACGATAAAATATAAATAATCTACGTTATGTATGTTAGTTCATTGAATTTCATAGAGAGCGATATTGAAAGATATGCGCTCAGATACCCAATATAATATTGTCAATCAACTACGCCATCTAGTGCAACGCGGAAAATGACATCACAAATCACTCAACCGACAGCGCCTAGTCGAAACTCGAACGCTCGGTACCTTGCCACGAACATTCTGGATATTTCTTTGCTAATTTAAATAACCTGCAAGATGCAGAGCAAGTTGAACTCGGCACACAAGCGAAGCTTTGGAGCGGAATAATGAATTAGTGTGTTTAATTATTAGTGTTTTTAGTTTTAAACTTTGTGTAAAGTAAATATAAAGTGTTAATTTAGGTAATTTTATCGGCAATTTTTATTGTCACGAACCTCAAGCTCGTAACAATATAATAACAGAGATAAATGTATGTACATTATTATAATGATTTCATATTATTGAACTTTCTATCACATAATTTTTACATTTTCTGTTTCATATATTGTAGTGCAATGGAGATTTTTGTTTATAATGATCTCCTTTTACCTTGTGATGTTTTACTCTCGTAATCAAACGTTATGGCTAATTTTTCTAGAGTAGAATGTTCCAGTAGTTTTACTGGAGCATTCTTCTCTAAATAATGGCTTGTACATCAAGAAGCTAATGTTTGTGTAATCGATGAAGCGAAGAAGTCATTGCGCTCGAAACAATCGAAATTGAATACGACGGAGTACTTATTAGATGCGCCAAGATTTTTATTTTTATGGGGGTTTTGTTTCACGAACTATTGCCGCTTGTACTCAACGACAAAGGCAGTAAGGACTTGTTAAAGGGATGGCGTTGTTTTATTTTTATTTTCAATTAAGTCAATTTTTAATAAAAATATTTTGATTTTGATTGGATTAAAAAGAAGTGATTGTTTTCAGCTTCAATACATGCTAGAAGGCCTAGTATACGTATACTCTCTAGGAGTTCGTTTGGGCTGGTGTCACCCTGTTATTCACCTATTTCTGCCGCAAAGCAATAGTATACCCACTGCTTTGTTCCGAATTCCGATTGAGAGCAAGTATGATTAAAACTATGAGGCGTTTTATCTTAGTCCTTAGGGTTGACAATGAATGAATGAAAATTAAAATCCTCAACCTTCTTTGTTGGAAGTTCATTACAGGTGTCTATGGGTTGCTGAAATCACGAGCAAGTACTCTGTTAGTTCCTTTACTCTTCTGTAATTTTGTGAAAAAAGTTTGTAATTTTGTAAAAGAAAAGTCTTAACGTAATTTAGTATATTATTAGTAATTTACACTATGTAACGAAAAAATACTTACAATACCTATTTTAAAAGAAAATTTTAAAAGTTACGTAGAAATGAAAAAACAACCGGCCAAGTGCGTGTCGGGCCACGCACAGTGTAAAGGCTAGAGGTAGGGTTCCGTAGTTTCCCGTCACAATACGTGAACGAACTTAAAGAGGGCTTTCTTGATACAAAGAGCACATTAAGTCAGTCCGCGGTTTGACCGCTATATCGACTAAAAATAAACCCAAATAGGACGGTGTCTGAAAGACTTATTTTCTAAGCAGTCTTTTCTTTATT